CCCCAAAACCCCAAAACCCCATCAAGCTGAATAAATGATAAAAAAGAGATTTTAATGAATTGATAAAATGAAAGAAATTTTAATACTGGGGTTTATCTTATTCCCAATGGTTGAATCTGCTAAATCCTGTCCATAAATATAATGCGATGACTATTTAGGTTAGGATGTGTGTTTTTTGCACTCAGCCTCTAATCCAGTTACTTTTGTCAGATTTACTTAGTGTGAGGATCAGAATAAAGTGTGCTATATGGGAGAGAACTACGCTTGGCTAGATGCTTAGAAATAATTTTACAATTCAGGGACTAAGATTCAGAATTCCTAAATTTATATGAAAAACACTCAAGGGAGATGCATGAATGTGAATGATTTCAGAAATGAACTTCTTCCTGGGAGAAACTGTTCCTATGATACTCAGTGCTTAAGTGGAACTTGCAATTCAGCTGGGGTATGTTCAGGAAAAGCTATTAATGAACCCTGCGCTGAAAATAGTGAATGTGAGATAAACCTAGCTTGTATTCCTTCTAAAACCTTCCCTTGGTAGACTATCTGCAGGAAATACTTGTATGAAGGAGATTCATGTGAGAATGATTATCAATGTGGTATCAACATGATTTGTACTCCTCCCAATTCAACAGCTTCCTTCAACGATGCAAATGTTTGCATGAAAAAATATGATTTAGTGGATGGGTCCGTAACTGGCTATAAAATATATAAGAGTGATGTGTATTCTGATTCATTGAGAAATGGGTTGAAGTGTAGATCAGGAATTTGTAGAATGAGAACAGCTACAGAATGCTAATGCTTTAGTATTGTAAATGTTACTACTGACTATGGACTACAGAGTGACTCCACTTTCTATAAATGCACAGCAATGAGTCAATACAATCACTGCCAATACTACTACGTTCATGATGAAGATAATGATGGGGTACAAAATCTAGGTTATCTTAGAATGAATTGTCAATGCTCAATGGATGGTAGTGTTGGATACTGCCCTATGCCTGGATAATCTAAACTTATTGAATATATTAGCATAATGAAAATATTAGATACATATGCAGTTAGCTGTCATTCATTAGATAGATATAACCTTGAGGCGTAGATGGAGTGTGGAATTGGAAAGTAATACTCAAACATTGAAAACTTAAGAGATGAGCTAGAGATTATATTTAGATTCGAATATTGGCCATATGCTTAATATCAAAGCTAAAGATCAATTATACATCCATGTTTAAATAAAGGTCATTCAGAAAGTCCCATTAATATCATAAGGCAGACCAATATATTAAGGAAATTATATAGCTCATCTTCAAATATACAATGAACCCCAACCGCTTTTATTTAGCAGTAATTTTGATGATAAAGTTATGAAATCAATATTAAACTAAGAAGTTATATCAATCAATTAATTATCTTATTTATCATCACTTATATCTATAAATGTATCCTTTCTTGTTTGTTAAATATCTGAAACGTGTTCATTTCTTTTAAGAATTTAAAATTTTGGCAATTCTTTCCATTTCCTTGGCATCATACATATCATCTTCATCCTCATCGATGTCAAAAATAGACTTTTTCTTTTGCTCAGTAGCTGGCTGCTATCTTTCAAAGGACACTGGAGCTGATCTGTGATCAATATTAAATCTATCCTGCACTTCATCATCTTCTCTCTTATCATCGAAACTTTAAGAGCCCTGGAACATCATTTGATTTCCGATGTTATCTTGTCTCTCAAATACATTTGTGATCTGCAGAGGTGGTACTTGAGACAATGTCTGTTGTCTAAAGTTAAATGGTGAGAAGGACTGTTTCATTGGATCTTCTTCGTGGAAATACTATGGAGTCTGTTCTTGTTGTCTTTCTGGCTTGTAATCAAAGACTTAATTTTATTACACTCTAAAATCATCGTCTCTATCGTATTATCTGGATGATTCTTGGAGATTTCTATTGAAGACATTTTCCTTCTCGTTCTTGATCTCCTCGTCTCTGTCGAACTCACTGCCTTCATTTTCCATTTCCTAGACTACATTTCTGATTTGATTCAATTTGTGAGCAATTGCTTGCTAGTCTTTCATAGTCTATGTGACTTTAGAAAACTCTTAAGTCATCTGATAACTCTGGTTGTATCCTCTTGTTACTCTAAGATCATCTTCTTCATTTAGGTAGTTATACATTTGATTGCTATTGACGCTATTTGAGTTAGGAGCATTTTAAGTTTCTACTCTATGTAGCAGATTATCTCTGACCTATCTGTGGAATCTAGGTTATTCCTCTTCTTATTCTAATTTACCTCTCTTCAACGAAGTTATAAGCTTATCTAGTTCGGACATATTCTGAGTATGCTTGAGCTTCAGGTCATCATCTTGCTGTTGAGTTAGATCCTGAGATATTTAGTTGAAGGAGTACATTAGCTTTTACTAAGTTTGGCTTAAGATTTGAGGCTGGTAGTTTTATGTGCCAAACACGTTGTCCTAGCTCTGTCTTACCAGACTCATATTCATCTGTGATTGATTTAGTCTCTCTTTAACTGGAGAGTTTTGCTTTATAATGGTCTTTTGCGAAGGTACTTGATAGGCTATCTGCTTCAAATTACTAGTAGTGGACACTGAAAGCTTGATTTAGCCAAGTGATTCTATGGACAAAATCTAGGGATCTGTAAGTGGCACTTAATGGCCATCCTGGAATCTATCTTTTCTAAGAATGTGGAAGTATCCGTTGATCTGATAAGTGCCGTCGACGAATATCATTTGAGATAGATCAACATAAGCCACTCCGATTAATGTTTTTGATATTTGATCTTTGGTTGATAGTTACTGATGATACACTTCAAATTCTAAAGGTCTATCAATAATGAGTCTGATGTTGTCTTCATTCAGTTAGAATCTAGTTTGCTAGCCTACTAAATGCCATGCAGGATAGGAACTTCTCTAGACAACTTATGTTTGAATCTACTCTGGAGTAGCTCCTCTGAATGGTAATCTGAGCAGTACCTAGCTGTTTGGAGCATCTAAATCACTAAGTGGGTTCTTCAACCTCATAGCACTCTCAATGTTTATCTTTAGTGTTACATCTTCTGAACCCATTCGATGACTCTCTATCATCTAGCTATCATTATTTGTGGTTCTGTCGTTTATCTTATTATCAAAATAGAATGAGATTTTCCTAAGCAACACCACATAGTCAATATGATTCTTGAACGAGTGAGAGAAGACATTCACATCCAGGCTCTATAGCTATTGCTTTGGATCAACATCCCTGATATTCTGAATGAAGTCAATCACAATCTTCTCTTTGATTTTAAGTTCGTGTTCTAACAGAGTTCTAAATAGAGTAAGAGGAATGAAACCATTCTAGTGATTGTCTATCTGCTGGAATTCCTTGTTAAACTTCTCAACTATCCCAAATGAGTCGAATTTTCTCACTAATCTGAAGAATGGGGGCAGTGGGCCAAACAGTGGTGAGTAATAGATCTTATCTGTGTTCTTATACTCCATATTGTCAATTAGTGCCTTGATCAAAGACTGATAAGGATCTTATAGTTCCTTCTGAATGAGAGCTATGAGGTCTTCATAGTCTACAAAGCCCTTATGCTGAGGATCTAGAGTTGTGGAAATTTGAGTTTCAATCTATTGAAGGTTATGGAAGAGTACCTCTGAATCTGCCATCTGAGTCTCATATTCTAAATGATAGTTAAAGTATGAATAAATATTTACCTTTCTTAATAAGATATAGCTTGCATCCTAATCTATCAGGTGTAACTTACTCTCTTTAGAAATCGTATAATGAGAAATAGCCTTCATGAGAATGGAAAATGCCCTCACCATTTTAATCCTTGATTCTTTTATTTCTAATTTTACTCAGTTCATTTAGTTCAATGAAGAAGGACCCTAATTGCACTTCATCTGCTGGTTGCTGATACTTATTTGCACCTTCTCTCTTGTACCAAAGCTCAATCTCTAATGGTCTAGAAAACAGCTCCTCTATATTTTTCTGATTTAGATAATCAAGTTCAATGAGCACTGTTTTCTTGATGTCAAAAACTTTGATCTTAAGTTACTTCAAGTGTTGTGATTCTTTTGTTGACTGGCTTGACATGAATTTAGTTTGGTAGTTTTGGCCAAACACCTTAAATTTAAGGTACATATGACTCTACTGATTAAGAGTTTACGAAAGATAGGTTTATTACATGAGCTCATCTCTATTCTTGAAAAGCAATTCTACAAAGTTCAAGCCTAAGATCATTTGATGATCACTTGTGAGGACATTACCGTTTGATCTAGCTAAGGTTTGTGATATTTTAGCTGATCTGTCTATCATAGTAGTTCTGAGGTTATCTTAGTTCTTTGCTATCAAATTGTTATATTTAGTAGAAGTTTCTTGGGAGTAAAGAGGTCTGTGTTGAGAATGGTGATTCAAAGAGATTCTTAGCTTAAGCGTACCCATCTATTGTTTATACTCATCGAAGATTACGAAGTTATCATCAATGCCATAATTACTTGCAAGCAGATTTCTGAGTGGCACGTAGACGTATCCAATGATGATGTAGTCATTGGTTTCAAGGATGTTTTTGTCCTCCATATCCTCAGTGTTTTAAGTATTTTAGGATCTGTGAGAATCTAAGTTATCTTTCCTAGTATTTAAGTTATTAAGTCCATAAGAATTTAGTTGATCACTTTTGCCTTGGATAATATAATGTCTGATTTCAAATTTAGCTTTCTTATTATTTAGGTAGTCAAAAATTTTAGTATCCATTTACACATTAAGGTCAAAGTACTCATTGAATATAGGATTAAGTGTGTTGTACAAAAGCTTGCTTGTGTGTCTACTGGTTGGGAATTTCCTAGTGAGCTCTGTGTCATCTCCGAAAACGGATCCAATCACAACTAAGTTAAGACCCTGTCTGTAGATCTAAGTAAGAATTCTACGTCTGTCAAGTTGATCTTTTGACTAATTAACTAAGCTTTTCTTACTAGTGCCAGTAATTGCAGTCAGTTTAGAACTTTTTGGCTTTTCATCAGCTAAACTACTTTATTGGATTTTTGCGAAGTGCTCAATATTCTCAATGGACTCCTTTAAATTATTCAAACTTTCAACATGCACACTAATCACACCGTTTAATGGAATCTTTCTCTTAACATATGTTTCCTTATGCAAAAAACAAGAATTGGCATTGTTGTCTTCTTCATCAATTTAAGTCTAGAGTTCATCAGTGACTGGGGGTTAGTTGGGATCTACTGCTACATATTGCCTCTCAGTTTTATAATTGATCTCTAGTTGCATCTTACCTATAATGCAGTTTTCTCTCTGACTAAAAGTAGTGCCATAAATGAACAAGATTCTTGAAAGTGTTTGTCTACTGTCTGGTGTAAATTATGACATTTGATACATATCAATCTAGTCTATTAGATCTTCAATAGGTAGTTAGGCGTTTCCTACTACATACTCCTTATTGCCTTCATATAAAGCTAAAGTAACATTGAAAAGTTGATCAGAGCTGCTAGTTAAATTTTTCAGATGCTTTTAAATTGAGTCTTCCTTATTGATGATGTAATTGTGAACAGTGTTGATGGAGACCTTGTAATCAAATTGATTATTCAATGCAAGACTTTCATTGTTCAACTAAATGTAATCTGATTAGAATACTTAGTCATCGTCAAGAGGGAATGTGTATTTAATAGCAGCATTTTGAATGTATTAATTTTTGCTACTTGTCTTAGTCTTGCTTCTTGATCTTTCTAAAGGCTAAGTCTATTATGCCAACTCATTTCTAGAAATGTCTTTGATCAGCTTATCCAGAATTGGAATGTTCTTAAGTTCCTTGACCTTGATCTCAAAAACATGCTTGACTTTCTTATAAGGTCTATTATCTTCTAGATGTTGCTTTTTGACTGAGTCATTAGACTCTTTATCTTCATCCTCTTCTGCTGTTTCAGTTTTCTTTTACACAAATGTCATCTCTTTATCCTTTCTCTTTTTTCCCTTCTTTTTCTTTTTGTTCTTGTTGATAATGACCTCAGATTCCTCCTCACTCTCTGAAAGCATCTCACTTTTACTTGAATAAATTCCTCCATCTGATCCTAGCTTATCCCCTCTTCTCTTTTATTATTGGTTTAAGTCCTAGGCCAAGGCAAATACTGATTCTGTAGAAGCTTTTACCATTTGATCATGAAGTTACTGCTATAGTTATTGTTAAAGTAACTCTTATGCTTTTTTATCTCTTTCCTGTTTGATCCTAGCTTCATAATCCTCATTGAGAATGTATTTATATAGGTAAGGGAACAGAATATTGTGATACCTGCTAGGTTCATGATAAAGCTTGGCGTATTGAATGTTAAGGTGTTCGAAAAAGGTAAAGATTTCCCATAGACTTACTACTGTTCCTTATCTCTTAAGTTTGAATTGAAATAGCTTAGCATTTATTCTTTCTGTGAGCAAAATATCATCTGGAATTTCCTCAATAATGCCACTTTTACCCTAAGCTTTATGCGCCTCAACTTTGAATTCAAGTTCAAGAATATTCATATAGTCAGGATTCAATAGAATTTACTCCTTAATGAAGTTATTGATCCTACTAGTGAGAATGTTAGGACTGACTTTAAGGAAATTAAGTTTAGATAAAGATTATCGTCTCAAATACTCACAAAAGCCATTAATGTATATCAAGTCGTTTCTGTCTAGATCGAAATAGCTTGCTAATTAATCATAACAAATATCTCTTAAGAGAATGCCATTTCCATCTAGAATGTCTTTTAGCTCAGCTATAGGGATCTTTGATTCAACAGCTCTTTCCTCGATACTTCTGATAAATTCTTCTTACTGCTCATAACTATCAATCTTTTTATCTATGTTTCTCTTGAATAGTTAAAAGAGTTCATTAATTGGCTCCTAAAGGGAGTCATAATAACCAATGTATTGCTTGTAACTGAACTGAATCTCATCTATATCAATATTGGTCTAATCAGCTTTTGTGATATTTAGCATTATTGCCTGAATATTTGAAATCTCAGATCTTGTCAGTGTGAATTCTTCCTTATTTAAAAGGCAATATAGAAAATCATCTTTCTTCAAGGAGCCATCAAAATTCTTAAGATTTTCCTTAAAGACTTCATCGCTATTTATCTCTCTAATTTCTAAGGCCCTTGATTCTTCAAATAACTTTCTGAGGCAGTTTAGTTAAGTCATTTTACGCATATCTACATCTCTGCTGGTAACAGACATATTCATACTAGTTCTGAGATAATTACCAATGTTTCTGAAGAATTAGTTCTCATTTTGATTGTTTTAAGCGTTAGTTGGACTAAGTTGCTTGTTAAGGATAGAATTAAAGCCAGACAATATTTAATCCTAAATAGGAAGTCTATCTAACATTGATCTATCTGGTGTCACACTTCTTTCTGGCTCAGGCACTTTTTCAGACTCCTCTTTTCTTCTTTCTTCTTCTCTTTCGCGTTCTCTCTAATTTTGGAATTCTAAAGTCATTCTAAGCCTATTTTCTTCCTCTTGCTTTTGCTTAATCATATCGATCATTTAAGTCTTAAAAGTCATTTCTATCAATTATTTATCTGATTCTTATTCTTTTTAGATCTATCTATTTATTTGTACAGCTGTTCCTAGAGCAAGAGTTATTTGTAATTCTCCAATATTAAGACCTAATCTTGGCGAGTAAATAGGAAGGAAGCCATCTGAAATCATCATTGGGTAAAGGCAATGTTGATCTGCAAGAAAGTTTAGTGAAAAAATTTGATCATCAGTGGTCTTCATTGAATAGCAGAAACTTGCAAGAGGAATTTTAACTAAGCCAATAAATTCTTCTTGCGCTGGACTCTTGGCATCCCAAACTTCTAAGATGAAAGTAAAGTTTTGAAGTCTAGTCACAGTATCAGGATTCATAATAACTGGGAATTAAGATCTGTATTAGAAAACTGGATTGCTATCACCCCAAACTGTATTAGTCTTGAGTTTATCAAGAGCGGGGAAGGCTTTGTACTGAACGAACAAGTTTCGTTTCGGTCCAATAATTTATGCTCTTTGCACTTGCTAAAGCTGTATATCTCCAATAGTATCATTGACTCTAATTTCCTCTCTATCGCTTGCTAAGCCAAGTCTGTGATTGAAACTTTCTTCATGTAGTGCTTTATTCAAACTGCCATCAGAGTTAAGACAGAGATTTCTGATATTCTTGATATTCATGTAGAGTTGAGCAAAAATTGGTTCCTATTGTTGAGAAAACTTCATGTACTTCTCCATTTCAGCTTTCCTATCTGCCTCTTCTTTAGCTTTTTATTCCTAGAGCTTCTGGTATTTAATCTAATAATCTCTAGCTAGTTCTTATTCAGTGTCCCCTCTTTACAGAGAAATTTCTATAGCAATATGGCCTACTTGTTTCTAGAAGGTTTATGGGATTTTACTCTCCTCAGTGGCTTTCTTTTTTGGTTCTGGCTTAGCTGGCTAACCTTTAGGGCCCTTTTTATTATCAGCTTTTCCCTTTTGGTTAGTTGCAGGCTTTGGGTCTTCCATGAAAATAGTTTGCTCAAGTGGAATACTAGCTTCTAATTTATATGCTTTAGACATTAAAAGCTTGATCATTGAAATACTTCCTTGAACATTTTTGCCCTCAATGCTGATGCAAACTTTAGCCTAAACTAGTTGATTAAAGGTCTCCTCATCAATTTTGAAATTATACAGAGAAAGATTGTTGAACATGAACTCATTGAATGAAACTATATCATAGTTACTAAGCTTAATAAGCTAGTTAGATATCTTCTTCTGATAAATGTCTGGAAGTGGTACGTTTACTGTAATGTTAAAGGTTTCATCTATTAAGCTGTGCAACAGTCCTTCATCCTCAATTCTCAAAGAACCAATCTTAATCTTTATAAATTTCATGTCTCTAATGTGCTAAGTCTCCTACCTTTAAAGCCCTTAGCTCATCTCTTGTTGAATTTGCTCAACATCATCATTAGATTAGCCTTTTCTACCTTTGAGCTCTTGACTCTCTCTCAGATTATAGCCTTCAATTTCAATAGCATAGATATTATCTAGCTCATCATCATTCATTTGAGCCTTCTTTTGTTCTTCTTGCAGGAAAGGTGGAATGTATCTCTTTGGGACTTGATGAGTTCCATGAAGAGTCTCCCAGGCATTATCAGAATCCAAAGCTTAATTCATTTATTGCCTTAGCTTCTCACCCCTTGCAAAGATTCTGTCAAATTCAGCTTGATTTGTAAAGGTATCCTCATTCTCGTCAATATTAATAAGATTCCTTTGATTTTCTTTGCCTCCTCTGACTTTTTCAGTGTTTCTATTGGGCCTTTCTCTCGTTGGTCTCTCATCAATCTCAAAGTCAAAGTCCTATTTCTTATAGGAGCTTGGGTTTTTCTGGTCTTAGTAAGAAGATGGTATCCTGTCATCTCTAAATGCATTCTCAATGATCTTTTTATTTCTGTCTTGCTGAGTCATCTTATGAGCTAGCTTCTCATTTTCTTCAAATGAGTCATCTAGATCTATATTTTGTCTGTTTGCATTTCTTTTCATTTCTATATTTCAAATTTAAATTTATATAATTGAGCGGTTTAATTCTATTAATGTGGGAAGGTGTTTATTTATATTTACTTACGATTATTAGAGTTTTGATCTGCATATGAACTAACTATGGATATATTAAACTGCCCAATCTTGACATTATGATTGCCTGTTAAAACTATTGGAAAAGCACTATATTACAAGAATTAAGATTAGTAAATGAATTATTACCCTCTTAGTTCAATCAAAGGTGAATCATCTCCATCTTTCTTAGCTCTATTTTCTCTTATAAAACTATAAATTACCTTTTAATATAAAGTTTCAGCATTATCTTTGAAGTTCCAATAGTTTGATTCTTCTCTGTGTCGAAGAAATCAATAACCAGAACCCCCATGTCATCTAGATATTTTTCAAATGTCTTTTCAGGGCATTTTATATCATATTTGAATTTATTAGTCATAGTTTCATTCTTCTTTTAGCCATTGGGAGTTCTATTTTAAATTATTTATGACTTACTTAGACTTACTTTAAATATACACCCTTAGATTGATCTCCCCAAAATTTAATATTTGCAAAGAGATTATTGACTCTTGGTCCTAAAGATGTGCCAATGTCTTCTAAGTAGTTTTATCCATCATAAGTTAGCCAGTCTAGATTTTGCATTTCAATAAACAGAAATCCAAAGGTTGGTCCTTCTACTTCTGGTGGAAGCATATTTAGGCTCTATCTGTTTAAAGTCTCATAGGTTTTAGCCTATTTAGAGTTCTTAATGTTAGTTTGTCCGAATATCTATTACGAAGGATTAATTGTTGTTGTCATTTAAATTATTAAGAATTTTATTTTCAAAATTTTAAAATTTCTTATATTCAATTATTACTAAGGATGAGGGGTTTTGGGGTTTTGGGGTTTTGGGG